GCCCCCCCCACCCCCCAAAAATTCACCCTCCCAACTTTTTTTTTCTTTTGCGTGGAAATGGCCCAGTGTCGTCCCCTGGCCTCGCGCAACCCCGTGGCGCACGCGCGCTGATTTTTTGACGCGTGCGTGCGCCTCAAAGCGCTTTGAGCGCGTTTCAGCGCGGCGCAGGGGTCTTTAAGCGCGCGCTTAAGCGCGCCCGCTCGCGCTGAAGCGCGCTTATACGGTTTCACAGAAATCAAGTGCATGTGTATGACATCCAGTGAAAGTGCCATGTAAAACCAAGTGCATGCGTACGAATGCAAGCTAAGCCGAGTACAATCTCGACAAGAATTATAACAAGCTCCCTGGGGCGAGCTCCCATGTGATCCGTTTCTCCGAACCGGGATCCCCTCCTCCTCCTCCTCCTCCTCCTCCTCCTCCTTTATACAGTCATGCTGAGCGGTCATGGTGAAACAGAGATGGGAAAAGCCGATGAAAATGGAAATGGAGATGACTGTAGTGCCCCGTCAACAGAAAACGGAAACGGAAACGGAGATGGGAAACCGCGATGGAAACGGAAACGGAGTCAGAAGGAAATAGAGATGAAAAGGCAGACAAAGATCAAAACGGAGACTCCCATCTGCTGACGTGTTACTCCCATCTGCTAACGTGGCACTCCCATCTGCTGAGGTCTCACTCCCATCAGTGATCCGTCAGTCCAATCTGTTGAGCTGTCACTCCCATCTACTCACCGGTCACCACCATCTGCTTACTTGTCACTCTCATCTGCTGACGTGTTACTCTCATCTGCTGAGGTGTCCTTATCCATCAGTCCAATGCATCGTGTGCAGACTGTCGTTGTTCAGCCCCCTGATAAGCCAGCCAAAGTTCGACGAAATAGTTATATAGCAACCAACAAAACGCATGACTTTGTCAAATGCAACGTCTGTCATGTCCTGGTCATATGCAAATTCTTGTTTTTTTTTAATGATGTTGTGTATAGCGACCATGACAGCACACGCACACACAGACAAGCACACGCTCAAACTCAGTGGCGGATTCGGCAGTCCCCGAAGAAAAGTTAAACCCCACGAACGTATACTGGATGAACGGGACATGAATTTATGACCCTAGCTTCTCTTCTTCCACCGAATGCAATGCCCTAACTTCTCTGGGTGTGTCGGTTGGTCTTAGTTTCCAGCAATCGACTTGCGGGGGGGATTTGGTTGGTCTTACTCCTCTCTCTCTCTCCATAACCCCTGCCAAAGAGATCAAGACGGTGCGTTAGAGAACAGGAGGAGGGGGAGGAGGGGCTGTGAAACCGCGCGTTCATTGAACGCGGGTTTTCCGTTCAGAAATTGAATGGAATGCACACGCGTTCAATGAACGGGACCGCGTTCAATGAGCAGGAGGTAAAGAGATCGAGTCAAACTTTGTGGAGCCAACAAAGGTAGATCAGCGCAGATTAAACAGAGATGGACCCACCGTTTTAGAGCAATGGCTTGCTGTGGAATACCATGACAATAGAAAATGAAAATGACCAGTTGGTTATCTGATCAGTTGGCGGATTGATTCGCTAAAACTTCGCTGATTGATTGGGTGAGTGATTGGGCGAGTGATTGGGTGAGTGATGGGGTGAGTGATTGGGTGAGTGATGGGGTGAGTGATTGGGTGAGTGATTGACTGACTGATTAAATGACTACTAGGCTAGTTGATTTCGATTGACAAGTTGGTTGATTGTCTGCTTGCTCGCCTGATTGATTAGTCTACTGATTGGCTAGTTAATCGAAAAGGCTGGTTGCGTGGGTGATTTACGGATGACATTATCCGATTTGTTAATCATCGAGGAGGAGGACGATGGGCGGCAGGCGGCACTCTCGAGGAGGACGATGGGCGGCAGGCGGCACTCTCGAAGGATACATAAGAAAAGAGAACGGGGAGGGTGGGGGAGGGGAGGAGGGGAGGAGGGGAGCGGGGGAGGAGGGGAGGACGGGGAATAGGAGGAGGAGGCATAGTAGAGGGAGGAGGGGAGAGGAAGGAGGGGAGGTGAATGTGGTCAAGGACATGAGAGAAACATGGAAAGAAATAAACAAGGAAGGACTGACGGACGATAGCAGAGGATAGAGGGGTGGGGAAGGGTGAAAGAGGGGGAGGAGGAAGAAGAAGGGGAGAAAGGGGAGGAGGAGGAAGAGAAGAGAGCATGGGGCAACAAGGCAGAAGAAACAACAGGAGAGTGATCGTTTCCCTATTGCCACATCGCTAAATCTGCTGGGAAGAGAAGAGCCGGGATACAAACGAGAGGAGTAGCGGGGGAATCAAAGCCAAAAAAAAAAAAACTTGATCAACAGAAGTACGTACGAGAAATCAGATGGAGAAAATAGAAATTGACAAAGGAAGGATAGAAGTAGGGAGAAAAGCCATTCGACTCTCCCACCCTTTGGCGCCGGCCATGCCATTGGAGCTTCATATCGAAGAGAGGAGGAGGACGGGACAGAAGAAAGGCAAGCAAGAGAAGGAGATGTACAGAAAAGACAAGAAGAGAATTAAGAAAGACGAGGAAAAAAACACAAAACAAATCGTCATCCGCCGCCTGATACCGACCGGAAAATTGAAACATAGCTTGTGATAAACTCCCGCTGCAAACTCCATATCTCCTTCTTCAGCCGCTCTCCTCCTCCGTTCAATGTAATCTGATATAATGGACGATGCTTCTCTGAGAGCTTCACCAAAAGTTTCTGCCATCATTCTTCGAAAACGTTGTTCATCATCTTCTTCCCGCCGAATTCTATCCCCTCCTCCTTTCCCTCCTCTTCCTCCTCCTCCTCCTCCTAGCCGCCGATCAGCCAGCCGCTCTTCGTTATCATGGCCCCACAGACGAGGGCCTGGCCCTGTGTTTCCCGCCATATCTCGATTACCCACGGCTCTTGGCGCCATTTGCTCGACCCCCAAAGCGCCACGTCGCGCCCCAAACTGGAATGTCAGACCGCCACGTGGATTCGCTATCGCAATGTCACCCAGCCACGTGGATGGAGCTCAATCCCCATCCGCCTCTCCTAGCCGTACATCGATCACCTCAAACGGCGCCCGTGGACTAATGGATCGTAACGGAGTCGTTGGGCAGCGATTGCACTACTCTCGAATCTCCGTTTTTGCGAGAGTGCAGCGTCGTGGAGGAAGAGCTGAAGGTAGAGCTGGGGCGAGGAGGAGGAGGCACGCAGCTCGTCTTCAAGGAACTAGATACGAATTCCACGAGAAGTGCTACGGCAGTGATGAAACAAGTGCAGCAGCATCAGTTGCGGAGCAAGAGTAGAGAAAACTGCGGAGAGCCTCTACAACCGCATCACTTAGGAAAAATGGCGCTTTATTGGCACAAAAACCCAGCGGCAGACCCCTCTCTCTCTCTCTCTCTCTCTCTCTCTCTCTCTCTCTCTCTCTCTCTCTCTCTCTCTCTCTCTCTCTCTCTGCAGACCCGAACCAAAACCATGAGCGGACGACAGTTGTCACAGTTCCGAATATGTAGTTCGGGTATGGGGAAAAAAAAAAGAAGTGGATTTGATTTGCACGGGGAGGAGGATGAAGAAGAGGAGGAGAAGAGGAGAAGGAGGAAGAAGAGGAAGAGGAGAGGATGCTGATCGAAGATATCCGACGTGCTGCACCTTCTTCGCTATCACCTGCTACTTCAAACCCATCAGGAAACTGACGGTCAGCGAGCGTCCAATGATCGCTTCTTCCCCTTTGGCACGTGTCTTCCATCCTATGCCATCACATCCCCAACCCGATCCTATCCGGCTCGCTATCAAATGCCATCCCGATCCCCATCACGTCCAAGTCCCCATCCCATCCCGATCATGCTCCTTCCCCTTTGCCACGTGTCTTCCAGCCTATGCCATCACATCCCCAACCCCAACCCATCCGGCTCGCTATCAAATGCCATCTGCTACTTCTCCTCCTCCTCCTCCCCCCCGATTGCTTCTCCTCCTCCTCCTCCCCGATCGCTGCCACCCGCTACTTCTCCTCCTTCTCCTCTCTCTCTCTCTCTCTCTCTCTCTCTCTCTCTCTCTCTCTCTCTCTCTCTCTGAGAATTAGAATAAAACGAGACGAAGAAACGGAGGAGGAAGAGGAGGAAGAAGAGAGGAGGAGGAAGAGGAAGAGGAGGAGTGGAAGAGGAGGAGGAGGAGGAAACGAGGAAGAGGAGGAAAAGAGGAAGAGGAGGAAAGGAGCAAAAGGACAATGACCAACTCACCTGGGCGCGTCCGGCGGCTTGCAACAAAGGGGAAGGATGTCGGCTAGAGGGCAGGGCGTGGCGACAAAGGGGAGGAATCTCGAGAGGCGTGCACGTCCGCTAGAGGGCAGGGCATGTAGAGAAAGGGCAAGGACGTCAACCGTAGGGCACAACCACGGCCCCAAAAAAAACGTTCGCCAGGTTTTTTTTTCCCGTTAGGCGCGTAGGAGCCCGGAGAGCGATATGGGGCCAAACCGCACTGAAAACCAGCGCTAATTCGACTTGCGCTGGTCTTTCCGGGGGCCTGTCCGGGTGAGCTGCCCGGCCGGGCGACCTGGGGGGGTTCCGAGAAGGTCCGATGCGGCCCAGGCGGCCCGGCTGGTAACCTAGAAACTAAGCAAATATTTCGTTATTCTCTCCTCTTTTATTATTTTTAATCCTCTTTCTCAGTTTTACTTTTGATATTAAAATTAATAAAAACTAAGGGTGAAATTCCTCATCAATTGTTGAGTGTGAAAGCCATGCGCCGAGGTCTACCACCATGCCACCGTACCGCGGCCGGCCGCTTCGGGAACAGCCTCGGAACGGACGAAAATGACAGGCGCTAGGCGCGGCAGGCGCAGCCGTTCCTCTCGTTGATTTCAAGGGTCAGTTTTAATAATTGACATGGAGAATAATAGGGGTCTCTTTCCTACCCCTAATATCTCCCAACGACTCGGACAAAAGTCGCGGTTAAGAGTGCCGGTCCCGTGAACGTGACCGGCACTGGTCACTTGAATGTGACCGGCCGGTGACGGGGGCCAAAATCTGTGAACGGCCGTTCACGGCGGCCGTTTACGTGGTTTCCGCCCACGTGGAGGCCGGAACGGTCGGGATCGGGGCGGGAGGGGGGTGCTGCGGGGCCCTTCTACACTCCCGTGTCCTGTGTCGTCCCCCATACGTCGTACGGGGGGTCTCCGTACGGCCCGTACGAGGGTGATTTGAGGCCCAAAAAAAAACCAAAAAAACAACAAAAAAAAATGGGCTTGTAGATCTTGAAAAGATCTGCAACCCCATTTTTTTAATTTTTTTTTAACCTTTAGAAGGATTTTTTTTAAATCAAAAAAAAAAAAGACGAGGAAAAAAAAGAAAAAAGAAAAGAAAAAAAAAAACTCGTAGCGGAAAAAAAACGGGCAGTTGCCCCGCTTGTGTGTGTGTGTGTGTGTGTATGCGTGCGTGGGGGGGAGGCGACCCCTGCACAATCAATCAATCAATCAATCAATCAATCAATCAAAAAAAAAGAAAAAAAGAAAAAAAGAAAAAAAAGTCACGCCTGTTTTTGTGTGTGTGTGTGTGTGTGTGTGTGTGTGTGTGTGTGTGTGTGTGTTCGTGGGGGGGAGGCAACCCCCCCACAATCAATCAATCAATCAATCAATCAAAAAAAAGAAACAAAAGGAAAAAAAAAGCCGCGCTGTTTTTTTTTT